ATTCTTGTTTACCTCTTTGTTCATTATTAATTCTCCCCATCTTTCGTTTATAAAGCTTCATGTTGCTTAACACAACTTTGAAAATAAATATAATTTAATTTTCCTGTTTTGAGGAGGGAGGGGGGGGGGGAAGGGGGGGGGGGGGGGGGGGGGTTTNGGGGGGGGGGGGGGGGGGGGTGTTTATATACTCTAGCAACTTTTTTTGAAACTTGCTTTTTCTTCGTCTCACAACTATCGCTTATCGATGAACATTGCTCTTACTAATTGCGTATAGGCACTCCGAATCGCAAACCATATTGCGGGAAGATGAAATCATTTTATAAGATTTAACCAAGTAAATAAGGGCTCTTTAAGTATAACAGGCTTCACGAGTTTCCCATCGGAGCGTGTTGTAGTCATTTTGTTCACTGCTTAATTTGCCATGATAAGCAAAGCCACTAATTCAGCCTAATTCTCACGAACAGTTCACAGACTACATGATCTGAAATTGCTTTTGTTGCCTTATATACCAGACAACCCTTTCCTTCAAACACCGAATCATTCAGTCAGAGGGGATAATAACTTATTAAAGATCATAGCACAACAATCTTCTGAGGTTATTGTGGGAAAATTTTGGACTTACGAAAGAGCGTATCTGTTGCTGTTAAGCAAATTGAACCATAAAGCCTTCACTTCGTCTGCGTAATTGCTAATGAAACAATAGGACACTGGAAAACATAATTTTTGAGGTCTAAATTTATTCACCTACTTACTGGGTGAGGAAAGGTCTTTGATAGGAAAGTGTGTGTGATGCAATATTGACTGATTAAATGATTAGAAACTTTTTGTAGATCATGAATGAATGCCTCGATCCATTCCAATTATCTAGAACACTTGCTTACTTGAAGCCACAGTTACTCTCATCATTAGCTTATACTTGCACCTAAGCAAATATATTATCTTTAAAAGGCGTTGTTAGAATCATTACCTTGCCTCCTTACTAACTACCAGCAGCGCCGATCTCGTATGAAACGCATCTTTGGCATAGAACACCAATGTGACCTTAAGTAGTGGAAAATTGCGAAAGCTCTCGTTGGTCACATTAGTGCGTGTGACCGCAGGTGTGGTGGTTTACCCAAGTCATACCGATTTAACTTCGTTCACATTTAGCAGTTGAGTCACTTACTATCGAGTCAAGGCAGAAGGTGAAAGTGGGTGAGAGGCAGAGAGGAAATTTTAAATTCATTTAACAAAAAAATGAGGCAAAGAAAATAGCGCAGCAAGTCAAGCGCAAATTGAATAACTTTTATCTTCCGCTTTTTTTTCGCCACTATCCAGCCGAATGAATAATCTCTCTTAGCCCCCTCCCGAATTGAAAATACGCTGAATATTTGGCATTACATGCTTTAATCTGATTTTGAACCTCGAAAGTTTTCAAGAAAACTGAAGGAACACAAGAGACGAAACACGCGTGTAATTAAGTTTCCCCCTGAAAACTAAATCATTCATATAATTCATTCTACTTTCTCATTCTCGAACCTTTTTTGAGTATAAGTGTGGCTTATCCTAATTTTCTGGTCTGGCAATTGTAGAAAGATTACTGAAAGCAGAAGAAACAGTGTTAGTTGACTCTCTCACTTCTTGAGGTTCTCTATATATTCCACACAAATTCGCTTAACAGCAACTTTGAGCTGTGGGAACACCCTTCCTTAAAACATGTAATGCAATCCCTTAATTAATTTATTTATTTATATCAAATGGCAGGCGTTTTGGAAGTTATCAATAGCCCTTTAGCTGACTTCGGGCTTTAGAGAGAGGAGGAGGAACATTAAAGTAGCAAAAAGTCAAGAGGGGCGAAAGAATAATGATTCACAAATGTAAAGGAGACATACAGACACAAAGACAGAGAAAAGGTAAGATGAGTACTGTGAAAGGGGTCGAATATGACATACAGTGGGCTCATAGTAGTTTGAAGTCAGAAGTCAGCTGCCGGTTTGTAGACCTTTGCCGTATGAATATACGTTTCCCAGGAAGTACCACGTGGAGGTAAGTCTATCACACGCCTCACGCAGTCCCTTAAGTAAAGTGATGGACATTTCTAGAGAATATAAAATGGTTAATTCCTAAAGTGATTCAACATACTATGGGAGTTTGGCTTTAAATTAATTAAAAGGGGTTGGAATTAGTAATTTTGGTTCAGCCTTGGCTACTATCAATTTCGGCCATGAAAATTTGCAAGCCATTAATCAAATATTGGATGTAATTCTGATTGAAGTACCAGTCTTTTTGAGGGCAGCATTTCTTTTTACAAGAGTGGAGGTATTAACCTCCAGTTCTTTAACGGGCTTTTAAACCACTCCCTGTAAAATTCGATTCCTCCGTCGCTTTAGGGTGGCTTTAACATTGGTTTTGTGAATTTCGGCATCTAAAATAAAAACGCCTATCTTCGATATTTGTGCATTGAATGTCGAAAATTCGAGCTATTTTTACTTAGGAACCTACGTTTCCTATTATTTCTCTATTAAGGTTAATACATAGCATTTCCATCAAATAACCTTTTAAACAGATATTACTTTCTTTTATTTTTTATATTATTCTAATAAACTTCTCTGAATTGTGAATTCTAATCAAACGAAATATTCCCAATCAATTGGAAATTCGGTTCAATTTGAAAACTAAACGACTGTTTTCCTAAATGATACGATTAATTAATTAAAAATCAAGTAGTTAATAGAGCCACTTTAAACTGTGTAAAGTCACTGCAAGGTAATAAAATGATTCAGTCAATAAACTATTAAAAGTGCCAGAATTTATGACTTCTCTCCTTATCGCCACGTCAAATTGGTATTGCCTCTTAATTGCTTAAATTGGTTACATTGAGGTAAATGGAAAAAAACAAACTTGTTAGTTTAAATTACTTTAGATTGTAAATATATATAGCAGGGTAAGCGACAATGTTAGACTCACACATAGGCAAAAATGTATAGGAATATTGAAGGCGAAGTTTGAAGACAAAATCGACTCTATGCATAATAGCCTTAATGCCTTCATGTGTGTATGTGTGTGTGTGTGTGTGTGTGTGTGTGAGTGTGTGAGTGTGTGTGTGTCTATATGTGTGGAAATGAGGTATTTTAATGCTCGATTAAGCATAGCGGACATGATTTCGCCTCATTAGACGAAAGCATAAATTCCAACTTTTGTATTAATATGGTAAATTGGGTGTGAAACAAGATCCGATTGAAAGTTTTGAGAAGTTAAGTTTAAACTATGATCGACTTTATCAAGGAACCTTGGCCACTTTTTCGTACACCATTCACCAAATCTAGCATGTTATGCGATTAAAAGGGATAAACTATGGGCAGGGCAAAAACGCATCGTCTTCCAGCATTTTTAAAACAAGTTTTGTTGTAACGCAACTTTGCCACTGCTCTCATTAATTTCTCTCACCACTAAGAGTATCAAAATTGTAAGTTCAGATGAGTACTTTTACAGCTGTGAAGGTGAAATCACTAGTATTCTTTGAGATTTTGATAATTATTAATTAGTGCTTATTCAGACAACTCATCGTTATAAGTCCAATGGGTCCATGACTTACTTTTGCAACCTCTGAAAACATGTTGTTCAATTGCGTAGAATTGGTTACTCTGTCAATGAAGCCTTAGCGCATCATCTCCTTGTGTAAAGCATAAACTTAAGTAAGATGAGTTTGCAAATAATAGAACATTAAATTACAGAGGATTTACTACCACTAGGTGACTTCGTCCATTCTATTTTTTTCCTTCTCTTTTTCGGTTTCTGACTCTATTGGCCTTTTATCATTATCGAATCTAGTTGCATAACAGTTCTACTTTCAGGAGGCCGAGTTTTGAGTTGAGAGCTTTCACAACCAAGTTTAATTGTATCCATAATGGAGTTAAAGTCGTCTCGTTCCCCCCAATGGCAATATAATAGCGCCAGTCTAAGTGCTCTGTGTTCTTTAGCCATATCCAATTTATCACCAACTCTAAATTGGCCTTGAAAAGATCGTATTCAGGCGTTTCAACTTATTCTGTCTAGGAAAATGGCTGCACTGTAAGATCTTAGAGTCTGATATGAATGCAAAATTTCTTAATCGACGTCGGAATCCGGATAGGAAAAAAAATTACTTTTGAGGTTGTCTTAATAAACTGTTAAGTTTTGCGGGGGATCAAGGGACTGATATCTTGTGAAAGGGATGCCCAAACACACTGTTTAAGTTTTGCTAAAATCGAAGGTGACGAATACAGAGTTTCTCATAAGGGGTTCCATAATGCCACCTTACCGTTCAAGACGAGGGTTGAAACACACAATTTAAATTTGGCTTTTATTATTTATTTAGCACTGGTCTAAGAGTCTCTGAATTCAATACAACAACAAGAGCAACTTCCTTTAGAAAAGCTGATGAATAGATAATAGTGTCAATAAATTTGTTGTTTGTAGATCACTGTTTACCTGTCTATCTGGTACCTTTTATGACGAGGCCGCTTTGAAAACAATACATACAAATTGTTAGCATAACTGACGAAGTTGGAAGTAGTAGAGTGCACTTAAGCAAATTCGTCAAAACATACACCAACATGCCCTTTTACCTTTCCCCCATTATTCCCACCCCTTCCCCCCCCCCCACCTCCCACCTTCCACCACTCTTACATTCTCTTCCACTTGCTCGTAACTACGGCCTCGTCAATTCCGGTAGAGCAAAGTTTGTGAACCATCTGCGCCATTAACGTCATATCATACATCTTGTGGTTGTTTCCAATCATTTTATTTATACGCCTTTCGCCCCTCCTACTACTACCACTAGGTAGACACCCACAATTAAGCGAGTAACTGCGCAGAAGGATAGGCCGAAACTGTGCTCTATTCATTCCTTACCCCCTTCCTCGCCCTCCTCACTCTTCCATTGTCAGGAGATTAGGGATAGAGACATGGTGATTAGTTCATAGGGGTATTAAACCAGAGCAATTCATTGAGGTGTGAGAGTTAATTGTCACAATGTGAGCATGACTCACGGGGACATAAATTGTGGCCAGGTGATGGTGAGGCTGGCGGCGAGAAACAATTCATCATTTAATTGCTCCGCCAAAAGGTTGCCATGGTTCCTGTAGCACCTACCCACACCCTTACCTGCTCCCCTCGGGAAAGACTTCCCCCCTTCCACAGTCAGGGAAAAAAGACAAAGATGTTCCCTTTAACAGACAGAAATTGGTACATTTGGCCCAGCAAGTGAGGAAAGCAGGGTGGAGGGGTTTTTGGAAAGGCAAATTCCCCAGCACATTCGCCTTTAGGTGAAAAAGAATACACGACAACTGAATTCATACATTTTTTGCTAAAAGGAAGCAAAACAACCATTCCTAGGCTCTTTCATTCTTAATAACATGCCCATTTATTCAGTGGATTTCTCCCACTTTTGCATAGGATGAAATATACCTGAAAATTTATCTTAAAGATGATCTCTTTAGGAATGAAGGTTATCTTCAGTGGCTTGCTGGTCAAAGTGAACATCCACAAAGTCATGGATTTGAGACTTTAGGCCATGCGTCCCTACTGGCTAAAATTATAAAGAGAATTTCTCTTAAAATTCGCTCGTGTCAGGATGAGCGTTTGAAATGCATATACCTTCACCTGTCGAAATGCAAATCTGCCGGGTCAGAGGTCTTGAGATCGGTGCTCTTCAAGGCACCGGCAGTACTAGTTATTTCTGGTCACAAAGAGTGGACCACGAGTTTCTAGGATGCCCCCTCTAATGCTAAGAAGCTTTCAAACTTTAATATACGCAAGATTTATCTCTTGGAATCTTCAGCATGAACGCATGAAATGCCTTTTAACCAAGGATTGTTAGACGGCATGAATTAGGTGATTTCTCCTTCACTAACCGATATTATTTCAAACTAGTTCTAATATACGCTAATTTCCATAGTTTGTCATACACATAGTATATTGAAACAAATGTAAATTCACTAATTTTAAATAAAATCCAGGTATCAGACCATTATACTGTATATTATTTTGGCATTCAAGGTGGTATTAATTGAAAGATTACGTAAAATTTCGGCATATTATTGAAACGCCAAATATGCTATATTTTTATCAAAGTAGTTACCTAAAGATTTCTGCTATATATTTCATTTTGCCATTATAATATAATGTAAGATAATAGATGCATATATACATATATATATATAGGATTATGTCTTCAACTCCAATTTCTACTCTCTTCTAATTAATGGTTCAGCTCATGTAAACGTCAATTGCTGATATGTAAAGCAATGACAATGGAAGATTTCCCATTATATTCTCCATTTCTGACAAGCGAGAGGAATTATGTGCAGAGCAATCATCCCATCTTCTTTCTAAGTCCTCTCTGTCTTGTGAGATTGAATAATTTATGCTTGCCCTTATCACACAGCAATAAGGGTCGCTAATCAACGTCGCCAGAAGACGCGGAGAAAAAAAACTAGCTTTGAGATGAAAATAAGCTGAGTCTGCCTAGTCTAACCAAGAAGCTTCTTTTCTATTTCTCTCGTGTAGATATTTGCATCGGACCCAGATGCCGAAGAAAACGCCACTTTGGTGTATCGTATTCGAGCGGGTGATCCCTTTGACTTGTTTCAACTCGACTCCCGCACAGGTGATCTCTCTGTTGCTAAGGATTACAGCAGCACTGGACAGTATATGGGCCAGTATCTCCTTTTCCTCGAAGTATCTGATCGTGGGTCGCCGCGACGATTCTCTGAGGCCCAGCTCCTAATCCATATGGATGATTCAGAGCCTTTAGGAAGAGTTGAGAGGGATATCTTCGGATTTCCAATCCGTGCCCCAGGAAGAGGTGGCACTGGAGCCAGCAGTCGAAGTATGAACCTCTACATCATTGCTGCAATCATTGTTGCATCATTTGTAATATCAAGTGTCCTGCTGATAGCGATATGTCTTGTTGTTCGGAGAGCTAGAACTTCAGAACATGGGCAGGGGGGCAGGTATCCCGGAGATGAAGGCAATGGACTACAGAATGGATCGATTTTCCATGATGGTGGGCTGGGAAGTTGTTATTTAAAGTCAGTTCCGCTTTCCCTGGCTCAAACAAAATATACTACTTGTGATCCACTAGAAGAAGGTGAGTAATAACTTTATACCTTTACATTATGCCAACATGGCTCGTTTTATATAGTGGCTGATATTTTTACTTTAATTTACTCGAAATAACAAATACAATCGGTCAATTTGGCGTTCTAATAGTAAAGCTTAGGTGCAATTTTATACAGGCGATACTGCGTGAGTCTGTTTGATGATCAAACTCGTAAGTGATGAGAATGTGTGAAATGGACAAATCATGTATAAGTCAGACGGTGGGCGTGGTACACAGTTGGCCTAATCCATCTACACATCATCGTATCTATTTTAAGCATCATCAGCAACATTCTTATTCCCCCATCTCATAATATGCCGCTTAGACAAAGGGAATGAATAATGCTGGTACCAGACTTCCTGTCTATAAAGAGACAGAGAGAGAGAGAGAGGGTGAGGACATTTATGTGTTTACTTCTTTCTCAATTATTTTTTTAATTTGTACTTCCATCCAACGTCACACATTGCACAATTCTCAAAACATCTAACACTAGTATATGGAATAATTAATAGGTTGAAATGGTAATTGAGGCTCCTTGAATAAGCCTTTATATCTTCATAACCGAAAAAAGAAAGTATTAATTACTGGTATTGTTGCGACATTAAAAAAATTTCTTTTTTAAAAACGAACGGCAAGAGGAACGCGTTTTATTGGTGCAGGTTGGAATGCAATCGAAAGAGAAACAAATTCAAAAATGAACAATTTCTAGCGTCGGTTATTGATGTCATTTTGAGACATGAAAATTAAAATCACAAAAAAACCTGTTATGAGAAATTTCAACTCGATGTTTATCATAGAGAATGTTGTGGTCTGATTAATAGATGAAAAGACTTTGAGGAATTATAATTTTCTTTTTTCCCCTAATTTTTTTGGCAATTAAAAAGGAAATTTTTGGCAAAATTTTTATTCAAATGTCTAAGTGGTAAAGTTGATTGACAAGTGTTGAAATGCGGCGTATTTTTTTTCTGGTAAAAAGAATGACAAGAAGGACTTCAGACGTGTCACTTAATGTAGCATTTTACCAAGTATATTACTCCTGTTGTCTTTAGGAAAAATTAAGTGCCTATGTTGACATTATTTGGCCAATGAAATATTTACGCCAGTTTTTAATAGTGCGCATAAATATAGAAAATTAGCAAATGTGACAAAAATATTGGCCGTAATTACGTAAAACAGTAGATTTACAGAATGGTATTTTTTGCTATCATTGTGCACTTCAACAAAATATACTCCAATCCATTGTCGTGGAATAAAGGATTTTGGATAACAGAAAAGTAGTTTCGCCTGAATTTTGTAAAACAAGCTAATTTTTAGATAAATTTTACTTTTCAGTTATATGGCAAATGGGGGGGGGGGTGGTTGGCGGGGGTGTAAGCAAAGTGTTTCTGTGAACGAAAACAAATAATTTTGAAATATGGCCTATTTCATAGCAATTAGAGATAAACACGGCAGATTCATCATGGGTCTGGGATGCAAAGGAGTTGAATTTCTTCACTGCATTGCCTTTGTTATCAATGACTTACTTTCAACCTAGGCGCCAAAATCTAAATTTCCTCCCAAAATCCCAATTTTTCTCTGAAGAACGTAAAGAAAGGGAACTTGTATCGCCACTTGCTCGCACTTCTCCCCTCCCCTCACCACTAAAAAATAGCATAAAGATCTTATCTCCTAAGGCACAAGAATATCAGTCTTCTCTGTCTGTTTCTCCTTACTCATCTAACAAAAGGCTAAAACATGTTTTTCCTCGTGACTTATTAATTATTCCCTAATGCCGTTTCTTCGACTAATCTCGCCTATTTATTCATATATTGTTTGGCAGACAAGAGAATTTGAGTTAAATCAGTTTGCAAAATGGACTTGTTTGATTAAATTTATTTATATCAAATGGCAGGCGTTTTGATAGTTATCATTAGACCTTTAGTTGACTTCGGACTTCATGGAGAAGAGAAACAGACAAAGTGGAAAAACAGTCGAGGGGGGGGGGGAACAGAAGAGTGATTCAAAGATGTAAATAGACAGACAAACAGACTACAAGTCGAAGAAAAGGAAAGATAGGTAATGTGGAAGTGGTTGAATGTGACATAGAGCGGGGTCATGGTAGTCTGAAGTCAGAAGTCAATTGCCGCTTAATAGACTCTTTTGTCGTAAGAGTATACGTTGCTCAGGGTGCACCACTTGGAGGTGAGTCTATCGCACACCTCTGTTTGATTAGATGTAGGCTAAAGAAGGAAAATCAAGGTAGATTTATATAGGTTATACCAAACATCTTACCATAGTCTAGTCTATCATTGTTTTCTTACAGTTAGAAGCCAATTTTTCTATTATCTAATAACTGCAATAAGACGTTTCTGTCCTGAGTGTGTGGTTTTATTAAACTGTCAGTCTAGAGGCAGGGCGATGAGTAACTGTCATTATTAGAACTATATTTGTCTTGATAACCGCCTATTCTCGTTCCATGGTAGCATACACTTGGAGGATTTGGGTCATGTTTACTAATTCTAAATTAATGAATCAGCCTTCCTAACTATCAAAATCCTGTTTCCTCTTATCGTTCACTATAGATGAGTAAAAAACCTGCTCAACCTTCAAAAGTCTCAATTAAATCATCTCTTGCTGAGTTAACCCTCTAACGCCCTTAGGACCGTACGTTCCTCTTTCAAAATAAGGTTCATTGGTGCAAGGGTCATAATAGAGGGCGCCATTGCCGATTAATGCCACCAAAACTCACTCTGCTGTGAGACACACGTGAATGCGATTGGGTACATTTTTAAAAAAAAATAATTCGGGCGTTAAATGATCAAATAACCCAGCAAATTTTCCCTCGATGACTTATTAGGTAGTTTAAAGTTCACCATTTCCCACTTCTGTGACTCTGTTCTAAGACAATAGACGTTCTCGTCTCGACCGAAGAACGGAACCGTATCGGTCGGTCCTATTTGTTTCTTTCCTCTCCATTAATACCGCACTCATTTCATTGACAATATGAATAGAAGTGACAAACAATCTAGTATATTTCCGTTTGCACATTTGCAGGAGTCCTGCCCATTTTTACATAGGAATAGACTGAATGAGTAATGTTCACTTATGAATTTCGGTCAAATGAGGTGGGAGGAAGAGGGGAGGAAGTACATTAAGTGGGGACTTTTTGCAGACTGTCAAATTAGTATAAGAATGTAACTACTTCTCAATTAAGTTTCGGAGGAATCCCATCGGAGGGGGAGGGGGGAGGGGGAGGGGAGGATTATACTACATGCAGACACCTTGTTTATAATCTAAATTTTGGACTTGGGTCCTCACTTCCTTAATGCACAAACCACAATTTTGGCAAAGAGAAAATAGCTATAATTTCGCATAATCTAAGCTACTCATAACAAAAACATTTTAATATGTCAAAGAGGGCAGTATTTTATTTTTATTATGCGTTGTTAAGGCGACTGGTAAAAATTGAAGGATACAGCATAAGGTTGTTTACTTGAAAAATAAAGTAGGAAAGCAAATCACCTTACAGTAAGGATATAAGATTTCAGAAAGCACTCGTCAATTGATATTAAGATTAAGCATGTAGAGGAGATAGGTAATACAGTGGGAAAATATGTTTTGTTCACAGTTTGAAGGTGTTTAACGGTGCATACTTAGGACCAAAGATAGTCATTTTGTACCCTCCAGTCGAATGTTCACTCTTTTACGCTCGAATTTTTTTTTAATATTGCACCCAACCTCACTTCCGCATGTCTCAAAACGTACTGATGCCGACGTGGTGAGTTTTGGTGGTGTCAACCAGAGGCTATAGACGTATTGCGCTTTCTGTTACCATTCTAGTACCAATGAATGCTTATTTTAAAAGAGGACCGTACGGTTCTAAGGGCGTTAAAAGGGATTAATCTAGTCAAATAAACCATCTGCTTTGCAAAACTGATTCAAAATGGGTATTCGATTCCCATGCGCTTGCTTTAATTAAAAATGGAAACCGATATCGATGCAGTGTAGTTAAAAAAGAACAATAATTGGCACTGGAAGATAGCATCTCCTTAAACTGGGCCATCGATCAAATGAAAATAGCTAATTTTTATACAGTCATTCTCATTGAGTTTCCGTAAAATAGCATTGAAAATAAATCAAAATTTTTTAACATTATTAATAGTCATGGCAATCTGAAAACTTTTTTGCGGGTTTTGACCAATGTGAACATTTGAAAAAGCGTAATAGTTGTAACAAGGAATGAAAAGATGGATTAATTGGCAGATGTTAGAACTATTTGAATTCTGGAAGATTTTATTCGTCAATTTCATCAGGAAGCATATAATTCCCTCTCTAATGTTCAGATGTTCGGAAGATCAGGTTTTCATTACCTGTTCCCTGATTGTCAGCTTCATGTTCACGGTATTCAGAGCCTCTTAACCAGAGGTTTCAATAAAAAGATAGTTGATAATGTCTCTCCAATGCACTTCCATCTTCTTGCAGCCAGAATACTAGCAGAAGTACTAATTGGGCCTTTTTAGATGGCAATGTCGTGTAAACAAAGCGTGCCAAGGAATTCACTAGAGGCCCCAAATAATATGACGTGAATAAACATTAGAGTCAGACATGAACGAAATTTTTTGTATTTTCAAGAAACATACTATTTCATTTCACCTTATGCCAGTGCAAGTTGGTAGTCTGTACAACAAATATAGCTCAGAGCTTGATCTAAGGAAGGAAAACACTAAGATGTGCATATTTGATTTTTTAACAAAAGAAGAGGCTGTTGATTAAATAAATGAATGCCCAATGTTAATTAAACGCCCATACTTGTGTGGGAAGAATACTGAGGATCGGTAACTTTAACGGTCACGTAGTAGACCAACAAGAGGACCTAGAGACTCGATCCCTGATTCGTACCTCTATCAGACTCTAGCTTAGAAAACTAATAATCGATTTTTTAAATGCATGAAGGAAGAGAGATACGAGGAACACATTCGATTAGGATAGCTAATATTTATTTTTATTTATATCAAAT